CAACTAAGTACATATGTGTGGTAAGCTTCACGTTCTCGCTTCTTTACCTTCAGGAAAATAACCATCAGTTCCTATCGTATAGGAGGCTGCGGAACCCTAGGGACGGTGTCTAATGAGATGGAGAGGGGAGGAGTTTCCTATCGCGCAGAAGTCGAAATTCCGCCTACCTGGGTGTAGCCAGTCACTTACTGACTTCGTAAGGTTTCGCAATGATGAGTGGTTTTCTGAAATATGACACTGTGTAGTCTGGAATGTGTTCACCAACATTTAGAGCAACACTTTGCTTCCACCCTGAAGATGGAGGAAATATGTTCCTCCGAAATGTTGGGAACCGCGTATCGCACTACATGAAATCTGAGCTCAGAAGACAACGGCACGGAATTACTGACTTAAAGATACTTTATGATAAAGGATAAATATCCCAGGAGACAGAACTCTTCATAACCACTGCTGTGAGAACCTCAGTTCCTACACGGCGCTATATCCCAGAAGACAGAACTCTTCATAACCACCGTAGTGAGAACCTCAGATCCTACACAGCGCTATATCTCAGGAGACAGAACTCTTCATAACCACCGCTGTGAGAACCTCAGATCCTACACGGCGCTATATCCCAGAGACAGAACTCTTCATAACCACCGCTGTGAGAACCTCAGATCCTACATGGCGCTATATCCCAGGAGACAGAACTCTTCATGACCACCACTGCGAGAGAATCAGTTCCTACATGAAATTTAATATTTTAATTCATTAATTACTCCAGTAAATTACTTTCCTTAATACCCACGCAGAAAATTGTCGCAGAATTGAATTTTAGAAACAAGAACTTTCGTACTCGAAATCATTTAATATTATCTGAATCTTTCCCAGGAATATATTCTCTTAACATTTCAACACAATTACTCAATATTTTATTCTTGAAATCACCTTCCACATACTGTATTGTTACATGTGTAGGAGCGGCTTATGCATCCCTCACGGCTCACTTGTAGAGAACATGGATAATGTAAATCATTACGTCTACGGCTAGCGTTATAACCTAGGACACAGCTTCGCAAATAAAAGCCTCGGTCATTATGATGAAAAATATCGAAAGTGCACATTTGTCGTGTAGGTTCAGCCTCAGAATGTATTATCATCTGCATAGAACGAGTCAAATCCGAGCACTAAGTCAATTTCCTGAAATTAGTATATTTTTATGAATATTCGCGAACTATTTTATCGAAAACGGAACATGACGCGATTGGTTGGAAACCGTTAGTCAAATGCAGATAACACCGGGCAATCATTTCAGTCATTTTCCAAAGCATCAGCTGACCTACTATGTTGAGTGAGACTAATCTGAATAATAACTTAGCAAATCGAAAATTTAGAACATAAACAGATACCCTGTCTACATAAAATATCAAGTAATTAAATATTACATACATACGTTCACTTATATTGTTAATCATGCAATTATTCACTTTCATATTATCCCAGTTCTTGGTGAGAGGCAACTAATTTCGCGAACACAAGAAACATACTCCGAACATTAACTCGCACAAACAGAACCAAAAGACGTTTCGTACGAGGATTTCGTTCAAAACTGGCTTAGAACCGTAACTGTGAATACATTTGAATTGTTAGTGCTTGATTTAACAAATTAAGCTAAAAGTTTTTATACAAAATGACACGATTTCCACCCATTTATAGAAAAGGATAACGCATCTTTAATGGACGTTGCACAATTTATTCTGTTTATAAAATTTTATAACGACAACGAAGCTACACAATTCGAGGCGGTGAAAATTCATATTGTGAGTTTCTGGTTTACGGTATTCTGTAGTCTGGTTCACCTGCCAGACCAAACGGTATCATTAAGTAGAATACTATACTATGAATGAAGCTACGTGGTCTTTATACCAAGCCTTTCACACCTTTCCACTGTAGTTGTATGTAAACGAACTTCCTTTTCGTGAAAGTGTTTATCACAGCAAATAATATCAGGAACTTGAATTTCCTTTTGGAAAACTTGAAAACATTGAAAGATAGGAGAAACTATGCTAGATAGAGGACTGACGACGGAGACGGTTGTTAATAAAGAGCTCTGATATTTGTATATATCTTTTCAGTTGAGATAATTAAAACACGAAAATCTCGAAGTATTGTCTGTCACATTCGCTTCAATGTTCATGCAATATCGTGTAGGTCGCAGTGATATCATCAATAAATCGCCAAATATTTTACAATTTTATACTTCGCAGGGATCACAATGAGATTATGCCCAAAGATCCATCTTACGCTTAAAACGGTTAATTTTCAGAACCTTAATTAACTCAGTAATAATCCACAAATTTCTAAAATCAATTTCATTGCAAATACTTTTAGTAATAACTCTAACATTACAAATAAATGTCTAAAGATATAATAGTAATATTGTGACAAACGCAACAACCAACTGTATAAATTTTATATTAGATATAAATAACACATCAATCTACATTCAGATAGTTAAGAAGGCAAGAAGTGTTCGCAATGAAACATGTTTATAAGATAACAGTGTAAATCTAACACCGGGAATAACTGTAAATGCTTCACTACTTCCTTTCTGTGTTCACACCCTCTCCAGTTGCATGGCCACAGGTTGTACTGTGCATTTAGAAGTTAATGGTGATCGGTGAATGTGTTGACACATATGTCCTGAACGGTATCTTGCCTGGACTCTCAGCGTCCATCAATGAGAAACGTACTACTGCCGTGTGTGTGCAATTTTAAAATTCACCTTCTAACTCTTTTCAACTTGTAACTGTTAAACCCGTTAAACAAATAACAAAACCAGACTACCAATTTTAAAATGGTTCACTGGATATATAAACTGCATTACAGCATCACTGAAATAAAATTTAAATGATATTTTGCTTTCGAAAATTAATAAATATATGATGAATTAAGTTCATGTTTTAGTAAACAGCTGAAGTTACAATGTAATTCCGGAAGAAGGCATTTTAAACCTGGAAATGCACAGTGAAAGGTTTCTTTAATTGTTATTATAATATAAGGAATTATAAATTTGTTTCAAATTAAGAAACTTGGATATTTCAGAGTATGTTATATGAAAAAGGTTATACCAAAATTAAGAAAATATAGACTGTCGAGTTCCGATTAACAGATTTATGTTCAAAACTAAATTTTTAATATTGGCGTACTAATGTCATATACAAAGAATAGGTTAATAAAGAAACTAATTATGATCAAATTGGTAGTTACTGCACAGTAATAATTGAAATAAATTTACAGTTACTAAATCTGTGCGTAAATAATTGGCAACTATAATAAGTACACATAATGCCCAGTGTTTTAAAAAACACCTAAAATGTCGACTTCTATTCTCCCAGCATGTTTCTGTGTCCTCTTGCCCACTTCGATCTCAAAATCTCTATCAGTAGATTGAAGCTTTCTTTCTCTTGCATGGCAGCCATATCTTCTTATTTCTATGAATATATTATCTCTGTGTTGTTATGTTTAACTGCTCTTACATAGTCTAGACATAAACAGTCAGTTGCAATAAGTGAAACTCCACTAATCTGCAGTTGGATGATACACATATGCAATCGTTGGGAAATATAAAAATTATATAAATTAAAGAACAATTTTCGTTTATTGAAGCTGGCTGCAAGCTGATGTATGTTCCCTTGTATTGTAACACAAGATAGTAGCGCAGTTGTTTGCACATTTATCAAATAAGTATATTGGATTATATTTTGTACTGTGTATGATCCTTTTTAACGCCAATAATTTACCCCCACCCCCTATAATGATATATGTATTTATGTACTTGTAGATATTTTAAGTATTTTAAGGTGTAATGTGCCAGTCCAAACTAGAAACACGGCTACCATCAATATTTAAGTATCAGTTGTACCTTCTATATTGAATAATACTGTGTCACTTCATTTTAATCTATCCGTTTCATTAAAATGTGTCATGGAAATCACAGTTCCTTCCAAATTGAGGAAAAAATTACTCTACTGCTTTGCACGATTTCTATGTATCTTTCGTAAATTTTTCTTTGTCCCAGAAGTAGAAAGGGACGGTTCTTAAGAACCATAGTCACTGAGGTTCCACGAAACAATTCTATCAAGACACAATACACGCCTCTTTCTTTGTATTCTTTATGTGATGCCACAGCTGTCATAACTATGTTTTGGATATTCAAGTGTGAAATTAAATCACAGTTGCATTTCAACCCAACTATAATTAAATTATTTCAATCGGTTCGTTATTTCAGTAACCAGTTACATTAATCACGCGCTATCAGCCTTCGGAGACTGACAATAGATTACGCACAGGCAGTATCCAGACGTGCATCTGTGCTCCCACTACACTGGCTGCATTTAGGCCGGTGTCTTTGTGTCGAGCTGTGGCTGCGTTCTTGTCCAGACCGTGACATAGATGGAGGCACTTGCGTTTTTTTTTCACCCATTCATAGCTCATCTCTTGAGAGAAGTGGGATCAGATGTGTAAATAAATGCAAGTGTGCTGCATGTTCAGTGAAGACACAATCGGGCAGCCGTCACGGGCACTCGTCCCATGTTAAGTGCGCCAGTATATACGACGATACCGTGTCTGATTGGTCAATTTCCTGAGACGGTCTCAGGCCAAGATATTTACCTTGAAGATGGTTATTTTAATACTGACCGTGATGCTTAGCCTATTCAATAGATCGGGGGACGCTGCCCTAGAGAACTAAACCTACATAACACACACTGGTCTTGACAGCTTTGTGATCAATAAAGTGGGTACAATTCTCATGAATAATTGTTAACTACATTTTAGAAAAGGTATAATTTTTTTCATTAATACGATATGTAAGAAACTGTATTTCCATCTGTATTCCAGAGTAATAGATATCTAATAAATAAACATGTTTATGCAGAGTTTGTTCCAAAAGGCAGCAATGATGAATTGTAAATGTGAGGCCCGCGCTGTAACAGACTGTCTTGATGTGTTCCACGCAGGAGTGGAACGACTACAACCTCAGGTGGAACGAATCCGAATTTGGGGGAGTCAAGGACCTCAGAATAACTCCCAACAAAATTTGGCGACCTGATATCCTCATGTACAACAGGTAACGTAAAGCCAAGCAATAGTGAGACCGTCGTTATGTGACTGTGGGGTGACTCCTCTTGTGATGTGTGCAACTTGATGTAAACTCTTGTGTTGTTCAGTTCGAATACACTCAAAATGAACATAAACACGTCTTGTAGGCAGATCGCGAGTTTCTGGAAACAAAATGTAATTTAATAAATATATTTTTTTGTTATTTACTTTAAGATTTTGCCGAAGGGCATGATGATTGATGATAGAAAGAGTTTGGAGGGAAGTGACCGTGGCCTAATAGAGTTACTGCCATCGTATTTGCCTGAAGGGACTGACAGAAATAAAGAAAATCCTCAGTCAAGATAGCCGGTGACCCAGCCGAAATTCAAACTAAGCGTCTCCCAAATGCAAACATGGAGCGCCATAACAACTTGACAGGTGACAAATATCACGAATTACTCCTGTTCCGGTATTGGGTTGATGTGAACACGTGTATAATTCATTGAAAATGTGTTCTTTTCGATTTTGCATCTAGGTGGCTTTATATTCACTTTTGCAAGCAGAAAACTAGTTTTGGCAGAGATAATAAACAGCACGAATACCCCATAGCTTAGAAACATGAATTATGGTATTTATTCTCAGAAATATATACCACATTAGAAGTATTTCAAACAAAAGCCATATTTAAATCCGGTATTCCATGTTACGTAAAGAGTTTTTTTTTTAAGAATTTTAATTAAGCGCAGCTTGAACTCAAAACAAAATATTCCTTATAACTGAATTGATTCGCGTTGAAGTGAAGTTGGTCTCATGATAACTCTGATGTAGGCCCATGACAGAAGGTATGATGCAAATCGTTAATTTATGCAGCCGGTTAAACTTGAAACGGATGGAGGAAAATAGCATCATTTTCCGTTTATTTTATCCACTTGTCAGAAACTTCGCAAGAAATATGTTTGCTGCTAGTAACGGTATATATAAATATATATACAGACGTGTTCTTCATTTTGAGATGATATTCTTTGCTTCACTCTATGTTGTATAGTAACTAACTTGTATTATATTTCAGTGTATGTGAACTACATAATTATGAAGAAATTTTTAAATGTCTGTGTACGTACCTCGGGATGAAATTCCTTCCTCATTTAAAGACAATTTCGTAATATTCTGTATTAGCATAATATTGTTATACTTGATCAATTATACAAATTAATAATGCAACATTTTGGAGAAACGTTTTATGAAGGTATACTCATACTTAATGAAGCTATATAGATAGAAAGCAATTATTTGCTATTTTCAGTAACTCAACACTTAGATTCTTAGGGGTTCTGACGATGGTGTATAACATTCATAATTACTGGATTTTTGGGCTTTTTCCACCGTACGTTATTCTAGAAGCTACAAACAGGATCCAGTTTCCGAAACGTCGTGTTTTCCAGTCTCTAGAATATCGGAAGATGGGAAAAGTTCAGAACCCCAGTAATTCTGAATCGAACTCTTGTTGTGACAATAGACAAAACTTCTCCGAAATGTTACATCTGCACATCATACTCTGTGAACCAATTGTTTGTAAAACAAAGAGATGGTTGATAAATTACCCCACTTGAAAGGAGAAACAATTCCTAAGATTTAGTGGGTGTTTTTCACAATTCTCTCTCATATTGTAATAGAGACATTGGTAACAGAATTATATAACTTCCAAGCATTTGTTGATGATAAAATTTTGTTCCATAAATTTAAAAAGAAAAACATATTACCAGACTCGATAATATTATTTTTCTGTTGTCAGTGTTGCTGTTATCCTGTAAAATGTCCAAGCTTGAAACATTATATCTTAAGATCATTTCCAGACGTTACACTCTCCTGCAGAATGTCTATAAAATCCCAGATATTTAAATGACGAGTGAAAGTTAAGAGAACTGGCCGGCAACAACGAGCCGCCTGGGAAGAACGGTATGGTGGTCCCTTGCTCTAAACCCGTAGTCTCTCCAACCTTCTCAATTCAGTTGACTTGTCAGAACTTATGATACACATTTCTGAATTCGAAGTTAATTCGAGTTGAGGGTAAGCTGGATTTAGTTTTCAGAGATCCAACTTTCTCTCGTAGATGGTCACGTGAAATAGTGTATATTTTAGGATTAAATTCGCTATAAACTGAAACTTACAGTAAGCTACACAATGTCACACCACTGCTTAGGCGTTTAGGCGCTGGCTTCTCACCAAAGAGTCTGTGGTTCAATCTTAGGTGATTTCATGCAACATTCGTCCTGGTCAACGTGGCACTGGAACAGTTTTCTTCCAGAGTTTCTCCAATTTTCCCTTGCTAATCTTCAGTCCGCTACTGTTTCATATTCACCGGCTCCTGAGATGTGCGGTAACCTTGACCAGGCAGCACATTTTCATATGCTGTGAACAGGTTCTTGGCTGGTCACAGAACAAGAATGTCGAGCAATACTTTAAATCAGTTATACAGAGATCTCACTTAACAATAGTTTGCCTCCCTGGCATATAATGCAATATTTTTCATACAAATTGTGCGTATCACTTAAATCTTATGTCTTATTCATGACACGTTTGCACTATGACGAGAATTGAAAGATGAAAGTTTAAATATTATTTAACAATAATACAACTCAAGTGACGGGGTCCGTTAGGTACAAAGTTTCATTTTAGGGAGATAAAGATTTTTGCTGATGATCCCAACTGTCCACTGGATTTAACCAATCTAAAAATGAAGTTACATTTATGCATCGCCAATGAAGCAGAACAGGTGGAAACCAAATCGATAATACTCGTAGGTATATTCCTTTTCCGAACGGAAGAACTGCAAAATACGAACGTACTTGTACATATAATAATCTGCATTTTTAAAAGTTGCCTGCGATCGAAAGGCTTACAATGCATCTAAAGTAGCATAACAATTTTATTTGGCCATTTCAGTGTCGTGATTCCTTCAATAAAATATGTCATTCTTTGTTTCTCCACGCTCATGACAATGTACCCTTTATGAAGATGGCTCCAAATGTCAAAACCCGCAAACACAAAAATCGTCCGACTTCACACATAAAATATATTCACAACAGAAATAGTCTGATTCAAGACAATTTCATTTTCCAAGCAAAAACAAATAAATTATTCATAACAATTTGTCCGTGTTACTGAAGACACATCAATTACAGAATCTTTTTAATCAGCATGCAACTCATGATTGAGTGGGATGTTTATTAGTTGCGAAAAGCAGTAAAACAAATTATAACATTAATTTCTTAATTATTAATAAATGAACATATGTAAATGTCCTAAAAGAAAACATCTTTCACGTGACCGTGCGAGGTAAATTTAGCAAATTTCTTTGTGCGCCGAATACTTTCCAATTTTTTCAATAAATTTCCATTTGCATGTTTTTACAGTCGTTATGATGTGTGTGTAATTTATTCGAGGTTTAACCCAAGAAATGCTTTCCACATTATCCACATTAAAAACTGAACCCGTTAATGTCATCTCCTGTATAGGACAGACCTACCCAACTTCGTGATATGCCATACTTCGTGGTATAACACTCCAAATTCGTCACCTATGTGGAACTGTAAAACCTAATTTCGTGGCTAATTTAGAGCGTCGTGCCACGAGATATGGTATGTAACAATATTACGTAGGCTTATCCTGTATTGTGACGACGCCACCGCATTGTAAATATTTTTTGCTTGCATGTTGGAAATCGTAAACGTATATCTTACTATTTTTATTATTATCATTGCTATTTGTCTCCTCACCAAACGAGTGTACAAGTTGGTTTCTTCTTCCCTCCTCTGTATCGACCAGAGCTGAAGTACAGAATTTTCGTCTTGCATGAACTGTCGTCTCATCTAATTTAGGAACTGGTTGAGTCCATCAAATCAGAACTGCCCTATCGATTCGAGTTTGGTGGGAAGTACAAAAAACAGCTAGCCGTTGTTGTGGGCCACATCACAATTTAAGTCCTCCGTCCCAACGAGGAATAGTCCTGTTCTCCACTCTCGGTCAGTCATTCATAACTCGTGTGACGGTTCACTCCTTACTGTCACTATACATCACAATGCCTCAAGCCACGACTGAAAGCCAGAAATATGTAACACACGTGGACATTTTTGTTCCAGGTTTAAATACTACACGTAGTGTTTACCTCAGTGACGATTTATAACATGCTGAAGCTATAAAGCGTCAAGTTACAGGTTTATTTTTGATAATGTGTTCGGAATAAAGTGAAAATTGCCATATCTCTCTTCATGGCACTACTTAAAGATCTGTAGCGAGGAACTATGAACTGCAATAGTTACAACAACAAATTCGTTAGCCAAGATTTGAGTGTACGAACACCAAATTAGGAAGCCGGAATATTAATAATAATAGAGTACAATTCGATTATGTACATTAAATTGTATTCTACTAATTTCATTTCACTGTCTCCGTTGCTTTTCAGACTATGGTCTCATTGCTAAGTGACCGTAACCGGTTTATAGCGCAAAATTAATCTCTGCTTATACCTTTCTCCATTTTTGGCAAAAGTTTAGTTCATAAAACACCAACTATGCTTCGTTATGGTAGTAAATTATATAAGAACAGAGAGTAGAGGGAAAATGTGTAGGCGTATGCACTCAGAATATTGTCAAACTGCCTTGTAGTAGCCTGCCATCTCTGTTATAAAATTTAATTTAAGAGCGCAGAAATTGAATTCAGTATAAAGACGGTTTGCTTACAGAAATTAACATATTGTGACAGCCATTAATTCTCAGATACAACAAAATTAGCAGTAAATTTAAAAAACATAAAAATGCTCAGAACATATTCATACAGAATCAACAAACTTCATCAAGTAATTCCTACACAATTTTATATTACAATCCGTAGAACAAAATGCATAAACCACAACTGTTACTCGATTTCAACTCTCAGAACTGGCTCTCATTGCAATTTCAAGTTTATTGCTTTCCCAGGATCAATATTATTTACTGCATATTTTCATTAAAAGCTAAATGTGATATCTAAAGGTAAAGTCTTCTGGTTTTCAAGACGATTGTTGAGGCATCTATTAAAATTTCTGGGCTAACGAAATGCGTTTCAATAACTTGGTTTCAGAATAAAAGTACCAGTGTCCATATTCAAAACGAAATGTCTAACAAGAGATCATATGGGCTAGAGAGAAATGTTATGAAATGCATCGAGCCCTAAAATGTGATTCTGTTCTCTAACAATTCTTTTCCATGCTTGGAGGAGATCGAAAGTGTTATTAAATTGTTTCTGATATATTTATAGGGCCCAAAAATTCGACTCGTGTGCGTCAGAATATTTCATAATTCTAAAATATCGAGATTGTAGGCAAATATTCCTCGTTGGGGAGGGGAAGTCCCTGAGAAAATCTGTCGTCAAGCAAGAAATGAAATCAAATTTATACTTAAAATTATATTATCTGTTTAACAACTACATATATAAAATATATTATTTTAAAATTCTTTATATTACTAATTTAAAGTCATAGAAAACGCACTAAAATGTCTACCATATACCTATGTTCAGATTTAAATGTCAAATTATACTAACAAAGAGGCTCCTACAGCATTATGAATGGTGTTGTGTAAACAGTGTTATAAAATATATACCTAATTCAACTTTATACTATATGACTACCTGAATTTTATTATATTATATTTATAAATTTCTCTATAAAACTCGGCCTACGTAACGGGTCATAAATAAATAAAAATAACCTTTTTAAATATGTTATTGAAATAATCATTTAAATTCCCCTCTATTCCTTTCCTGCCACATGTTTCTCAACCTTAAACTGTGTGTACTACATTGTAATGCTGTGTAGGTTGACCTACTAACGTTTTCTACTGTTTCAGAACTTCCTGTAAGTAATATAGACACACATACACACAAACACACAGCTTCCATTTAGGTCTAAAGCTCTGTTCCACTATCAACATTTCCTTCCTTGTTAATTCCAATAGAGAATAATAATAAAACTACAAGAATCAATAGCAATATGGTCATTTCTTATAGGTCTGAGACAACTGAATTTATTTCAGTTTATTACAATGCTAGTGTAAGAAACTCTCAACCACGTTAAAATGTTCTGAGGAGGCAGTTTGAAAGTGCATCATACAGACGCATGAGAATACTGAGTGACACGTGACTTGAGCTAGCTTCGATACATTTACACTGCTGCCCACATCAGAACACATCAATGAATTTCAAAATCTTTCCTTACTTTTCAGTCCGACAGCTAATTATATTATTTTCTGAACAGACAGTGAAACTTAAAGTAACATGCGCAGTCCAAATTCATTCCTCCTCCTTCTTCTTCTTGCAATCTACCCATCTCAAGGGCCCCTTGTTCTCGTACTGATTATCCCCCCCCCCTTCCCTTTCTTCCATCAACCTATAAATTTCTTACAATTTCCGACGCTGTAGTCTGCCAATTCCACGTTTCCCGGTTTCATTTTTTAAATTATTGTTTCCGATCTTCCTTTTCCTATTCCTTCTATAAATCCATACAATCGTGAAATCTGAGTTTCCATCCTCTATTTCCGTCAATCTATTCTTTCTCTGTTTAATTCTTCAGCGCATTCAACTTAGCTGTAAACACCTCAGAAGAAAGATAAGCTCTATTCATGTGAGTTTGTTCCTCTGCCTTATTACGAATCGTTGTTCCCCCTATGTCATTTTCCAGCGTTACACAACATTTAAGATATAACATTGAAAAAATACTCACGAAAGAAGCAACATTAAAGTTCCTTCTAAATAACTATTCAGCCACTAAGAAATACACCATTTCAGCTCTAAATAAACAGCATGAAATTCCATTTCAGGCATTAAATATTATACATTAGATATTGTCGAATATGTTCCAAGTGGTAACACAGAACACCATTAAAACTGTTACAACCTTTTTGCCACAAGTGCCGATGAAGGTTTCGACGGGACCTACCACACCAACGTTGTGGTCAGACATAACGGTAGCTGTTTGTATGTTCCACCGGGCATCTTCAAGAGCACATGCAAGATAGACATTACGTGGTTCCCCTTTGATGACCAACATTGTGACATGAAGTTCGGTAGCTGGACCTATGACGGCAACCAGGTAGTACCAACACAACAAGCTGTTCAGTTGGATGTGTCACGTCGTTCGTGTACCATATTGACCTATGTTTCTATCTCTCTCTACTCAGTCACAACAGAATGCACCAAGAACTTGTACTTCGGGTTGCATATTAAGGCACAACCACTCTAACTGTAGACGTACGCGCCATTTTTAAATGTTAGACATTTAAACAATGCTGTTACGTCACCACAGCACGGTACGCCGTCAGCTTGGAGATGACGGCCTCCAAATGCAGCCGGTAGCTGCGCTTAATACATAAGACACAACAAACAGGAACCGATCCTGTAACTTAGGATCTGGGCGGGGAGGTTAACAGTGCCACACCGTAAAATGCAGAATGTGTCGAAATGTTATACAGGACTTCGGACTTGGAGATACTTTTTGAAAAGCACAGGACAGAGTGAATGGCGGTCTCTTTTCAACATTTTAATGAAGCTTCGTTTTTCAAAAGTGGTGGGCAATTTCTTAAGGAGCTGAGCGACTGTTAGCTTTTCAACATGGAATCTGCTCCAAAACAGTTTGTTAGTTACATATATTTAAACAAATCTGAAAACTTTGTATAATACTGTAAAACAAATGCATAAAGAATGCTACTTTATTAGATGTGATGCTGTTTAGTCCGGTAAAATTTTACAGATGTTTCGAAGGAACTAAATGCCTCTATCTTCAAGGTAAAAACCCCACTAGCAAACAGCAGACAGAGTGCTCTGTTTGATATCTCGGATTATCCTTCACCTTCAAGACAGATAAAGTGCGTCCCTCTTAAACGTCGAGAAACTTCTACCAGACTATATGGCATCATGACCCATAGGATAGTCCTCTTCACAGACACGCAGTGGGAACTATAAATCTTGCAAGAAATGAATGTTACCCAAGGGAAAATTAAATTTTCTTAGAAACGCGCCAACTCAAAAACATTTTTATGATACTAAGTTCTCGAAAATTGGAACTGATAGTGGTACATTTCATTTTGAATTGTTGTGTATAGCTATAATTTTTCTCGAAAATACGTATTTAAAAATTGCCTCCATACAAAGTTAGGAATTATAACATCAATTAATATTCAAGTCATAATGAAAGCCGTGCGCGTGCGCGCAGAAAACCCACAAACCGAAACTAACGGCCTTGCTTGTACATGTATGTAGGCCTAACAGTCGTTCTCATCAGCACTATCACTGCCTTGAACCTTCAGTCATCAGCGCGGAATGCAATAACACTAAATACGTGTAGAATAATTTCAGGCCTACCAAAGGTTCTATAAATTATAATATTAAAGCATTATTATTAATATTATTTGAGCACGCGATAGCATAGTTGGTGTAGGCATTATGTTACAAGAAGGAAGGTCGCGGTTTCGATTCTCGATTAGACCACCGAATCTTTCGATATCCTAACTCTTCTAGCCGCACTATGGCCAGCCTATAACAGATATGAGTACCATGAGACTCCCTGGGGATAAAGGGCGACCAGCACGTAGGGCTGATAACTTCACCGCCATCTATGAGCCGATTCTCTAGAAAATGTGGGAACCTCAACATCTCACAACCCTATGGCCCTTCAAGGCCTGTTACAGGGATGGCTTTACTTTTTAACGCCCCTACTACTACTACTACTACTACTACTACTACTACTGCTACTACTACGACTACTACTACTACTACTACTGCTGCTGCTGCTGCTACTACTACTACCACCACCACCACTGCAACTTACTGAGTACTCATCCTTACCACTGCTACTACCACTACCACTACTACCACCATACCACCACCACCGCTACTACTACTACTACTACTATTACTGAGTACTTTATGGAACTGTAGACTTCTAACTGGGGTTATTTTTCGAACAGAATACACAAACAAAATATAAAATGTTTTTAACGTTAGTATCCGAGTATGTAATACCGTAAGTTCCTTTCATGAGAAATGTGTCTAACATTTAAAAATGTCCTCACAGTTATAACAGGCACCTGACAGTTTACTTCACACAAGGACTGGGTGACCTTACACCCCTATACATCAGAATTCTGTTTCAGCGCCGATGCAACGTCAGCCATATTGGACTTAATTTGAAATGTCTCATGAAGCTCACTGGTAATAAAATGCATCTGTCTCACAGGGTAGCCGCATCGCAGTTATAGTAAATATTGTCCCCGTCTGACGTATATTAAGCATGATACATAAACCGTTGTGGAAGTTGTCTACAGACTTGTTCTAGGATGAGTGGTCGTCATAAAGGTAGATAGGTTTTACTCTTATTTTCGATGCTGCTGACCAATTACCTGATAATGGCAGTAGATCTAACACCCGAAGCATCACGTAATTAATATACATCAGACCATGAACAAGTGAAACATTAAGTGTAGTATTATGAATTAACCTCTGTAACAAATATTCACAGAATAAAGCAGTTCTATGCCAACCAAGGTGGTACTTTCCTGATTTAACGCAGAAATGAAATTAGTAGTAAATGTGGAAGGCAGTGCCCATCAAAAACTAGGTATCAGGGACAGGATTCCTGAAAAAGAAAACATTACGAACTATTGTAATGTAAATCCCAAGGGTAAGAAGGTTTTAATTATTACGTGTTTTGCTGTGAGCCGAATTACGTAGCCCTTACCAAAACGAGAATCACAGGTTCGGCTCGGACGCTTATTATTATACGCATTCCGACGTTTCGAACTATGATTCCCTGTCGCTTCCAGAAACAGGAATAATAGAGGTACTGGGTACAGTCTCGCCCATGTTACGTATCTGGTTAAAATAAAAACGTTCGCTTCTGATCTGAATGCGATTTCTAATACTGTGTATTGTTGGAAGAACATGTTATCTTCTAACATTTAAATATGAATTATCGGTGAGGGTCTTCCGAGATAGAAGTTTCCAAGGCAGTGTTCAAAGAAACTAAGTATTGTTGTTGCTAAAACACTCAGCATTAAAAGGTTAAACACTCAGTAACATCATTAGCTAGCGATGGACAAATGTTAATATTTTTTATTTAAGTAATGTTGAATGACGATTTCCATAAAAATTATGAATTTCTTTACCACGCAAATATTCATTAAAGATCTGTGGCATCACGCATTATCGGGATTTGTGAAAGCTTCATATCTACAAATAGTGGAAACTCGTAGTTTCGATTTATACACCGAAAGCATTAGCAAATCAGAATAGACGTTACGAATACACAGATTATTATTAATCTTTTTCGATTATTCAAATTGTAGCAGCATGAAGAAGCGGGATATTCGAAAACAATATTCAGACATGCTACAATGCCCGGGTTCGAGTCCAGGTCAGGCCATGTGGCATTTGTGGTGGACAAAGTAGCACTGGGGCAGGTTTTCTCCGAGTACTTCGGCTTCCCCTGCCAATTCTCATTTCGCCGATTGCTCCACATTCATCATCTATCATCCAGGGCAGGTACAATAGGCCAGTGGTGGTCGACGTACCAAGTACACCCAGTTTCACTCCACCCCAAGAAACTAAAAATTTATCTGGCTATGTTGCAAGATGCAGAATACATAAAACCTGAAAAGCTCATTTTAAAATATTAAGTTTTTCCTTTTAGAATGGCAACAAGAATTAGGAAAATACTGTAGAAAGTGAGTGTGAGACATGAAATATGGAATAAACGAGGCGGTTGGGTTTTTGTACAAACCAGTTGGTCTACTGTGCTGCTATGTTCTGCCCGAATTTTTTTATTGCCACTTCTGTTACTTGAGGCTTATATCACAATGCATCTATTTTGTGTGAGCTTGCTTGCCACCGAGTAACAAGGAGATGTATAATTTTCAGACAAAGCGAACACACATTTCATCAACTGCTCGTCAGCTTCTATGTTATTCACTGAAATATGATTTTGCTATCATGCTTTGGCGCATTTGATTCATCAGGAGGGGACACCGTGATTTCGAACACCATTTTGCATGGAGCTAGACTATACAGTGACGTTTCTTCATCTAACTTTGTCGGAACAACATAAATTCCTATTACCAAATTCCATACCACCTTCCCTAACTCCTACTTTCGGTTATATGTTATACAAATTTATTTTTGCAGTCATGAGATTAAACTAAACGCAAAATTAGAATAAGACTAAACGTCTCTAAGGCTTCTTGTTAGGACTTATTTGTTTCGTGTTTAAGCGACATAAAATCAGCTGCAGGAGGTTACGGACATGGTGTAAACTACTAAAGAAATCATGGCACATCGAGAATATTTTGACGGAGTCTTTTCAATTGAAGGCCCTTTAGGGCTATAGTGGGCGGTCAAATGGGGAAACTGTCGTGAAAGTTGAGTTGGTAAGGATACAAACGAGACACATAGTCATAGCAGGATACTAGAGAGCTGCCAAGATTATGAAGTCGAAAAGAACCTCATTTTAAGTGGCTGGTTTTGGGATGAATTTTAAGACCCGAAACCTCGCAAGAAAACGAGAGAAGCATGAAAGCCAGCATAACGCGTCTTTCGATGCAATATCTTGAGAAGAGCATTTGATATGCCGCGCGAAAGTAATGTAAAAGTTTACTGCTCTTCTTTATCATGTAGAAGTGTGTATCCAGCTCCATTACTGCACAGAAGAAGAGCAATTTATCTGCTTAAGGACGTAATATTCTTTAAACCAAGTTCTTCTGCCTTGCCCTTTAGGTCAGTTACGGAAAATCTAATTTAAGCAGTCATAAAATTGCATTCTTGGTACGTATTCAGTGATATATTTGTTATTAACTGAGAATATAGACAATTACTAACCAAAACAATAGTAAGAAATATAGGTCACCATGCATTATCTCATAAAGTTATAAAGAATTTAATTCTCTAGTTGCTCGAACCTTTTAGTACAACGTACAAAATGGTTGCTGACACAGTTGCTCCTCTGTTACGTCACCGCGGGGGAGGGGGTGTTTACCGAGCGTTGCACACTGATGGAAGTAGTGGGGGTATGTGACGTGAATCGCGAGACCGCAGAGTTCACGTGACCCCTACTTCCCGTTGCGCCATCCACGTCACAATATAATACAAGTTTTGAAATTGCTTGTTATTTCCATCTACAAAATTCTTATACAAAAGTGATGGTTTCTATACGAAGCACTCGCGGGCCACTAATAAGCCAGCTCACTTCGTGATCAACTTTAAATTAGCCTGTTCTTTATACTTGTTTACTTAATGAGGTTTTCAGCTGCTCGGATTAGGCATCATCGGATGACAAGATTATCAGTAGATAATTATCTGCAAGGGATGAGGAAGGACACGGTCGTGGCCTATTGTAATGTGTTACCTGGCATTTTCCTGGAGGTTTGAGATGCCCATGAACGGCCATAGTCAGGACGGTTGGCCTTCGGTTCGAAGTCTGTACCCTGAGCCCCCTGAATAAGCAGGACTATTACCCTCTTGACACCGACATTCGCTGTCACACATAAACCTCAGGCGACGGGCTATATCCAGCACAGTTGCAACGTACGGTCACGCATCCTTAAAGAATAGTGGAATATAGAAACTGTATTGTATTTAATTTTGAAGACATGTTTGTATGATAACATGAAGAACTCCTTACTCTTCTCCCTGTGCACCTGACGAAGCTAGGAGCGGAGACGTCACAATAATATTAGTCAAGTTCTGGGCAGGTCTGAATTGTAAAATGTTAATATTCTAGCTATTATTATATTTTGTGACTATTAAACCGCTTTTATTAATTAAGAGCTTTGTTCCCATTTTGTATAGTATTCTGTAATATATACATGCATTTAGCCAATTGTTCTTGTGCATGGATGTTAATGGCTCCAATTAAGTTGGAGCATGTCACATGTTAGGCACCCTTTCTCTTTACAGTAGATTTGTTTCTTACAATAATATCTTAGTAATGCATGTCTGTTTCGTAATCTTTATATATGATATTCTCCTTGGTTTCAATGAGCAATATTTCTTTCAGAAGTAGGTAATCTACATATTTATAAAAGTTTGCGAAACAACTCTAAATGGAAAATTATTAATTTATTTTAAATTACTTGCCTTTCATAAAGAAAATCGCAAATTTATGAGATCATCATGTTGATTATTTTATTTCCCTTTCAATTTTTAAGTTAAATTGGCGACTTCGCAGAATTCTGTACAAACAATATGCCACACCAATCTCCTGTTCGTAAATTCCCAGAAGTATAACTTATTAACAGTATCGTGAAGGCGACATGGGAACAACATTAGGGTCATTTAATATAGGGTACTGAAATAATGTACGGTAATGGACGTTTGGTAAATGTGCTCCTTTCAAGAACTTTCTTTTGTAGAATGTAACACGAGGCCATGACGGTCGCGAGAAAATATTCATTTTGCTTTCAGTTTGACAGCAATAACTAATGGAATATGTGAGCTAGGAATATGAAATTATGTGTTAAGGTAGAGCATAAACATTCCTACGAAATACACAAAAAATTTTGTATGTAGGTCAATTACAAATGCGGTGACAGTGAGAAACGTTAAGGTTATATCCTACAAATTTAAAGTTAAACTAGACGGAATCGGTGTTTGAATAATAAGTTTTGCCCATAACGAACTTTGTACTACTTCTATAGCGACTACACCTTCTTATTATTATTATTCTACCACTACCACTACCATCATCACTACTAGTACCACCACCACAACCAATACTACTACTACCACCACAACCAATACTACTACTACTACTACTACTACCACATTCAATACTACTACTACTGGCCACTACCATCATTACTACAATCAATATTACTACCACTACCAACACCAGAACCACCACCCATACCACTAAAACCAACATCAATAATAATTAATAATTAAAGTCTGCTTGACCGTGTCTCATGGTGTTGTCGCTTGCAGATTTATTTATACTTCTTCAACCCTGAAGATGGGGGCGATACGTTCCTCCGAAACGTCGGTTAACACCACATATACACGGTGCCAAATCCCAGAAGACTGCTTTCTTCAATAATTAAAGTGTTTGCGATTGAAACCAGTGTAAGAATTCTGACATCAGCAGGAATCACCGTATGACCACCTCCACTCATTATCCTATGAGCTGGTCTGTCGTGTTACAAACTTAAGTATACGACAATGACAAATGTTTGTAGGAATGCAAGATTGTATAGTATGAATACAGAAATGCTTTACAAAAGAGCACAATGAGTTTCGGACCCAGTTTTTAACGTCTACTTTCTTATCGATCAGACTACCAATGTGTTCGCGTTCTGGGTTTCAGATTCGAGTCACTGAATCAAGCACACAGAATTCTGTATTAGTGTATTCCAAACCGAATTGACGATGGTGTATAATACCCAGGAATACTGGGTTCTCTGACTTTGTCCAACGTCCAGAATTCGAAAGAACGACGTTTCGGAATCCGGATCTGTTTCCTTCCTCATGTGTGAGGGAGGGGGGTCATACTCTTTGGGTTCATTAGGAAGAGATAACTTCAATCAGTGGCTCCGTAATTTAGGTCAGCTCTTTCTAATGGAACCAACCGAGTGCGTTTTTCCCCCTCACCTGAGGACGCAAACGGATCCGGTTTCCGAAAACTTCAACGAGCGGTTAGTCTTCTTGCTGCAAACAATTGCTGAGTTTTGTATACTGGGTCTCCTCTCCTGCTAGACTGTCCCAAACAATTGCTGAGTTTTGCATACTGGGTCTCCTCTCCTGCTAGATTGTCCCAAATAATTGCTGAGTTTTGTATACTGGGTCTCCTCTCCTGCTGGATTGTCCCAAACAATTGCTGAGTTTTGTATACTGGGTCTCCTCTCCCGCTAGACTGTCCCAAACAATTGCTGAGTTTTGCATACTGGGTCTCCTCTCCTGCTAGATTGTCCCAAATAATTGCTGAGTTTTGTATACTGGGTCTCCTCTCCTGCTGGATTGTCCCAAGCAATTGCTGAGTTTTGTATACTGGGTCTCCTCTCCTGCTAGATTGCCCCAAACAATTGCTGAGTTTTGTATACTTGGACTCCTCTCCTGCTAGATTGCCCCAAACAATTGCTGAGTTTTGTATACTTGGACTCCTCTCCTGCTAGATTGCCTCATCAATTTACATGGTTCCAATTGCTATACTGCTCTCTGAAAATCGAAAAGCCTATTGCACTAAAAGTTGACGATGATACATGTATAAACACTTGCAACTATTCATGAACTCTTTACATTCTATGAGCCACTAGACTTAGAAACTTCTGAAAAACGATATCGATTATAAACACAACTGCAGTTGAGCGTTAAAATAGAACCAAGAATGTATAGGAAATCACAGAACTAAGTAAAAGTAAAATTTCAGAATCACAATGATTTTAGATAAATATAGAAAACAATCTTCGACTATTCCAAAGAATATGAAACGAAAGAAACCAAGTAAAATTTCCGGCTTCTCAGACGTCGAACCAAGCTAAACGCGGAACATATTTAAATTATTTTCGATTTCAACTCCATGAACCCAAGTCTCCGTAAATATTTACATTCGTACATCTACGCCAATATTTTCCGATTCATTTTTATGAGCTTATCAACTACCATTCAGTTATCAAAAATCGGAAGTGAATAACCTGCGGTGCTTTGGTTAGAATGAAGGCAGTGATTTAAAATAAGTAAATTTGTCCACAACGGATGGAAAATACAAATTACCAATTCCATTCAACCGCTGCTAATTTTTATAATAAGAAATTTGATACAATCCAATATTTTAGTCACTACTAGCACATGTCACATTAATTACCTAACTGTATTTCCACAATAAAATTTAGTTCACAATTATTAAACTTACAGCAATTAATTGCTATATCAGATAGTCATAATTGCTTCCGATCTTCTACAACTTTAAAACTCTCATTTGATACCAAGTTGACCATGCCAGAGTTGTTCCAGAATTACAAAATCTATATTACGCAAACTTTCATAACACGCAGGGCATTAACTATGAATTAAAAAGATGTCCAAACACCGAGAAGAATAGAATAATACGAATATACCGGAACCCTGCATTTCTTTCGCCACTTTCTAACGACAATTCAAAACACAGGTACTATCACTATTAAATAAACTATATCAAAAATCGAAGAATGCAGTCTTCTGGGATGTGGCGCCACGTAGATCTTGTACGAATCGGAGTTTTTCCGAAACATCGGTTCACACAAGATCAACACGGCGCCACATCCCAGAAGACGGAATTTTTAATAGTCACCGCTGGGAAAAGTCAAATCTCATGTAGCAAGAATCAATCTAAATATTATAAGAGGAATGTCAAATTCAAATCATTGAAACCAAGGCTTGATATGCTCTGTCATCTCTTTGGCATGCATCTCTTACCCTAGTGCATATATATAGGTATAACACGTAACATTATTACAAATAACTAATAACTAGTCTGTCTTGCTGTATATTTACTTAACCGAATGATCTGCATGTGACTATCATACATTTAACTACTACACATTCACCCATAGAGTTAATTACCAGTTATTTTTTCTAGTTGGACCTAGTTCTCAACTCAGAAGAGGGAGGAGATCTCTCCGACTTTATCACGAATGGAGAATGGTACCTGATAGGTAAGTGACTGAAGAAGATGATGCGGTATATTAAGCTACAGTTCAACAGCCACATTCCTGGTGTGATAATTTCAAATTTACCATTATGAATAAATAAATCCTCACTTTAACCCTTTCTATGGTGAATATTCTGCCGAAACTTCTTTTAATTGTATATTTAATTTGACCTCCAAAATTCCATTGTTTTAAATGTACAAATTTACATCTGGAAGTGTCACAATAGGGTAATACAAGTTAAGCCATAGGGTAAGATAAGACAAGTTGCTTTGAGAAAGAGTTTCAGACATCAAAGCTAATCACGGAAGAAAAGATTAGTTCTCAGAATTACTGGATTATTCGGCTTAGTTTCAAGGCGACATATCTCGTTAATTTACATTCAATGTTCTGCATGATATATGACAAATGTTAGCACAACTAACATCGTAACGTAACTGTCAGTATTTCTGTTCCGCGTTGGAGACACACCGGGCCAGAACCCAAGTTCTGAAGTGGGCTATCCTAATGGCGGACTTTGTATTTTGTTCAGTAATTCGAGAATTGCCTTGCACTTCAGTTCGAAAATATACATTGTCATCACGTCAGCTGTCATACAACGACGCTATATCAAGTGCACAGCGTCAAATTACACAGAAAGATGATCATATATGAGTAATTAATTTGGAAGAAAGCGGTTTTTCCTTATTCAGACGTACTATCCTGTAATTAGTCTGGTGAGGCTGAGGAAATCGTCGAGAAACTTCAGACAGGACAACCGGTAACCTGACTGAGATTCGAGCCATCTCTCTCCAGTCTCGAAGTTTAAATGTGATGGAAAAGTAACCCAGGATTTACTCAAAAAAAAAAAGACCTTAGGAATTCAAAAGACATTAAATATTAGGAATATAGGCGATACTGAGCGCACCACACTGCCGTACGTGGGCTGCCTTTATGACGATGCGTTAAAATCTGTAAGTCAGACTACAGGTAATCTAGCGAATTAAGGTTCCTTCACGTTAAGATGGGAATAAAACTGCCCGTAAGTGTATCATACTTTTTAACGATTAAATATTTATACAGCCCCACATGTTTCGACCTCAATTACCCATCAAACAGAATTATTAAAATGTAAATTAGGAGAAAGTTACATAATATTTCATATTATAAGTGATCATAAAAACCTTAAGTCATTTATTTTTAATGCCACGTCATATTTACAGAGATTTAAAAGACGATTAAGAGCTTATAATACAAAACAAAATAATCGGCATTATATTTACAAATCAGCATAAAAACAACCCACATTCGTCCTTTATTAGGTTTCGCCATGCAAATAATTTAAAATGATTTAAAAATGTATAACTGGACTTTATTTAACTGATTCAACTATTTCAAAATACTGTAAGTAAATTATGTAAAGTTTCCTTCAGTACTGGTGGTCCCTGCAGATGACCAATAGAGTCTGAAACTTGTCAATGTGTACAATGACCTAAGCATCAAAAAATGTGTTAACACTTGACAACTTTATGCTTATTTGAATAGAAACATTTTATTGGTAATAATAACCACAAAATTCCTTAATATGTCACCTCTGGTAACAAAACTACCCTTGTCTTCCTATCATGCCTGCTTATGAAAGACGATTCCTGGGGCAAGAAAAATTATTGGCCTTAAAATTAAAATATAAAATCGATATTCATATGGCCGTAATGAAAACTGTGAAATTTAAAAGTATCTTTCATAGAACACCAAGGAAAATCAAACACAGTTCACCAAACACGTGTTGGTAACGCACAAGTTAAAAATAGAATTGATATAAAGTGGGATGAAGAAGTTCTATAAGGTTCCATATGAGAAACGAACATCAGGCAGCAGATTGTTTTAAGGTGTCTTCTGACAAGACGTACCCAGGTACTTACATTGTTCTTATGGGAAGAGTATGAGCATCCTGAAATTCCAAGCTATTCTGTCTTGATTAATCATCCCCAATATTTTATGCACTGTGTAGGCAAAGCGTAAATTTTGGATATACTGTGTGTGTACGTTGAAAGTACAGAACATTAAATGGTTTATTCTCCGAATTTTAAGTCTAAAATGTAATGGCCCGGAAACAAACTTAACAAGTTTCCAGCTTTATGGTTGAAATTCTCCTTCTTGAATAAACACATATATAATTTATTTTTTACAATCCATCTGTTAGACACTTTAGTGTTTCACTTGCAATTCTTACAAATTTAATTTTAATCTGCGATTTAAAAAAAAATCAAGTCCCACAATTTAAAAGCATAATGAATAACCAATAAACTAGAAATCGAAATTATGATCAGAAAATATGTTTCAGATAAAATTAAAACATACGTATGTTTTAGATATCAGAGACTTAAACAAGAAAATTTATTTCTGCTTTTCAAGGAATTAAAATGTTCTACTGCCTAAACCCACTTATCTTAAAAAATCTAAATTATTATTAATTCGTTGTAAATTAATGCAGAATATATGAATAGCAAACAGGTTTTATTTCCGTTATCGGTGAGGTCATCTAATATGCAATTATTTTACGTCCACGTGGTATGCTCGCTGTCAACGCTTTGGCACCCAAAGCAAACTCAATCTCTCATATAACTGCCCAGAAAGGGGGGGCTTTAGTGATAAGGCAGACTGGTCAAACTTTATAAATCGTCTCCTCGGAGAACTGAATGTTTGAATAATGCAGTCCTCTGAGATGTGAATTCGTGTAGATATTGTATAAAACGACGTTTCGGAGGAACGTATTGTCCCCTTCTTCAGGGTATAAAAAAAGAAAAATTCACGAGCGAGGACCCAGCGTGAGCAGGTGGCTGCAGCCAGGATACACTCTTCGGAAACGTCGGTTTCTACAATATCTACACGGCGCCAAATCCCAGAAGACGGCATTCTTCATAGTCACCGCCGTGAAAACGTCAAATCTTACAAACTAAATATCTGTTCAAATCCTCTAAAAATTAATTTGTCCGCCCATATAAGCCAACACTAATTTGTTTTTTTCATATATACAGAACAGCTTGTTCAATCCTCAAGTTCCAGTTAAGTGTAATTCCCAAAGTGCGGATCTTTAAACTGCATAAATAAGAAACACATTCGAGACCCGACTAGAGGAAACAAATTTCTCGCCTGTGAATCTCAGGATTCCCAACGTGTTAGAAATTTTCAACACATACAAAAATATTAGCCTTTTCATTGTTATGAACGAGATATCTCGATTTAAAACAATGGCTCCTGTTGTGAATATCTTTGGTGTTCGACATTCTAGGTAACAATACATCTACCTCACAATTCAAGCTGTGTGCGCTTATTTAAATTGTTTCACATATTAGAATTACAACGGAAACACAAAGGACAGGATAATTAGCTACATAATAATTTAGATGGAAAATGTTTAAAATGTTCTTCTTGAAATAATTTATTTTAGGATTAAAACGAAATGTACATCGCGGGTGAAGACAGTCTTTACTATGTAGTATCTCCACATGACGGACATACGAGCACACAGAACTTATGATAAGCTCTTCTCTTATGAAGAAAATAAAGATAAACATACCTTCCAGGTATAACGCAATTCAAGTAAATGTGGATGCTGTAACGATTAATCGATTAATCAGTGTTTCAAAACGATATGTCTCAAATTTAGTACAACTTTTTAGGAAACATCTAGCTACTGCAGCACAGATCCAGAATTTAATTCTTAGGGAAAGCACTCCAGACGTCTAATCCGTGAATTATTATTATTATTATTATTATTATTATTATTATTATTATTATTATTATTATTATTGAAAGAACCTTGAAGGGGTAATTACAAATAAAAATTAAGCTTCAATAGATATTAGCTGTAAGTTGAAAAATTCCGACACACATGTATAACGTAACACAGGAACTTCAATGTTTCGAAGCCAATAAAGGCCGAATTATCAATATCTTCACGCGGCTGTTTGTAGTTACGTTCCGTCAAAACATTACTGGTTCTTCATATATCTTTCGGCCAATATTTAAACCATTGTTTTGGAAGCCTGATATGCCCCATACATTCATCTTTTCCTTCTTCCTTTGTTTGTGTATATTATTTAACCGATATTTAATCTGGTACTAGCCGTTTCCTTGTGTCTTCACATATCCGTCTCTTTTATATAGAATGTCCGGATGAAAGGTATCCAAAATAAAAATTTATATCTCGGAAAGTAATTGTCATACACGTATCTGGTTTATGTTATCGGAAAGGAAAACGCTGAAAGTTTTTTTCATACCCGGCTTACATGCCACATTTTTGCCACCATGTTAGGAATCACCTGGACATAGAGATGGCTGGGATATAGATCGGCAGAAGTGGATCAATCTCTTGGCCTCCTAGGTCGCCAGATTTAACCCCACTGATTTTTTCTCGTGGGGTTATGTGAAGAGCATTATCTATCAGGTTAAGATCAACGAGCTTCAACACTTGAAAGCCCTCATAAAGGACGCTGTGACTATGGTAACACCAAACATGCTTCAAGCCTGGATATTTATCGTGCCACTAAGGGAGCCCTCATTTAAATTTATTGAGAAAGTTATATAGGCAGAAAAGAACTTTTGACAGTTTCCCTTTGTAATGGTATAACCCATCAATGTGTATAACAATTTTTTTCTGAGATAATAGTGATTTTATTTTGGATACCTTTCATCCGGACACCCTCTATTTAGTTACTGTTACTAACTTACGCGAATCTATCATCTACTACTCTTTTACTGTTTTCTCTTACGACGTTCAAATTTCGGAACAGGACAGAAGATCCTCTGTTCTGATCCGAAATTTGAAAAAGATGGCTGTATCGCACGGCCATCTTTCTTGTCCTAGCCCATGAATTTTGGGCATTATTTTCCGTAAGATATCAGAATTCTTTTCTTTGCATTCGCTTCGTAAGTTTAAGAAATAACGTACCAAAAATTATTCACAAATTTCCCACCTATTTATATTATTTCATTCCATAATTTAAGAGATATTTATTGTAGTACGCTTCTTCTTGCTCAAATCTGACATTTTGTGAACTTCGTGCAATTTGTGTGGCATATGCAGGAATGCCGGGTAAAAAGAACACCATTGTCTACCAGTGCTGCCCGGAGCCTTATGTGGACGTGACATTCACAATTCAAATTCGAAGGCGGACCCTCTACTACTTCTTCAACTTGATCGTGCCCTGCGTTCTCATCTCGTCCATGGCTCTGCTCGGCTTCACCCTGCCACCTGACTCTGGGGAAAAGCTCACCCTAGGTGAAGTATTACCATCCATCAGTGAGAATTTTCTTAATTTCTGCAACAGGTATTTATTTATTCGAGTTGCTCAGTGCCTCTGGAACAAAACTGGTGCGCGATAAATACGAGCGCAGTACCTTCGTCATCTTTAGTGTTAGGCCACTGTCGTTGGCAAGCACTCTGATAAAGTAACTGAATTATAACTATTATCGCAATTTTTATTTATTTGTACATATTTACTACATATGTTTGTGCTTGCCTATAACAGGCCACTGCTGTTGATAAACACTCTAACAAATAAAACTTATTATTATTATTACTGAAGGATAATATTAAAACCGTTCTTAAAACAGTGTGGAATGGTGCACATTGGATTGATATCCCTCAGGATAGGGACAAGTGAACCAGTGGAGTAGTGGTGGGTTGTTGCGAACACAGTAAAGAAAATTAGGTCCCATAAATGGGGGGAAATTTCTTGAGAAGCCGTGGGATTATTAGCTTTTGAAGAAGGGCTGTGCTGCAAGCCTTAGTGTCACACTGACCTAGACTCTAAACGGCAACATAAAACCAGCGTAAGGATCGTAAAATTCACCTACATAACATTTAAGTACTCAGTTTGTACCTCACAGAAAACACATTCTTCTCCTAAAAGAACAACACAAACAAAAGTATCTGAAGTATGTGCAGGGTTTCGTTTACTCAGGAGCCACAATTCTTTTAATTCTTCCGTTACTAGTAACTGTTTTGTTGCTGCTTCTCTGACCTTATCTTCTTGTTAAAATGGCACAGAAATTCTATCAGCTATTACAATAAAACTTTTAATAACAGTATCAATCTTTCTATATATTTCATTGATATTAATGGCCGTATGGAACCGTTATTCATATGGCTAATTAACGAGAATTATGTAACACACTGTTATGAAACGGAATCCCGAAAAACAATCAATAGTAGAGATATATGATGCACACACAAAAATCCGTTTACTTGTATTTAGTCAACCACAAGTTATTTCCAAAACAATGCTTCATGTAAGTTTTGCTGATTTCGGAAAGGTTATATGTTATGTAATTTCTTTCCTGTTAGATAAGTCGAATTTTAAATCTTAAGAAGTTCCAGCTGAACTTCATATAAAGTCGGGTTATGAACCAAATTGGAACTCGGACAAACGTTTAACAAAATCCCATTTCCTTAAATACGACACAATCTGAAACCTTGAGTCCTCTACGGGTAATTTATGTAGAAGGGTAGCCAAAAATTATTTCCACATTTTATTTCATAAATGTGGCACTATATTTCAAGATAAAATTGAAGTGTGCGGCAGAAATAATCAAGGATTTAAGAGTATAATTTTTATTTTCTATGATATAGTATGACAGAGTAAATGTAACAGGTCTCTAGCAGTGATTTTGCAGTTAAGTGCACTATGGAGCCATGTCAGTAGCGTAGTTAGTTGAGGCACTATGCTACAAGCCGGAAGGTCGCAGGTTCAAGTCCCGATAAGGTCATTGGATTGTTTCAATTTACCTAATCCTTCCAGCCGCACTATGGCCCTGGCGTCGACTCAGCCTCTAACAGAAATGAGTAAAAGGAATATTCTTGGGGGTAAAGGGCGGCCGGTGCGTAAGGCTGACAACCTTACCGCCATCTATGACCCGATTGTCTAGACAGTGTGGGAGCCTCGACGTCTCACAACCCTATGGGCCTCCACGGCCCGTTACAGGGATAGCTTTACTTTTTTTATGGAGCCATGTTTGTGCCTGAAGGTTAGCAACTGAGGCATGCCAAACAGCATCCTACTGATCTATGAGGTATATTTTAACTTTCACTGCGCCGTTAATAAGAACTTTCGATACTGGGCTGCTGATAATATACGAATGTCCCCTGCACATCCGCAAAATCTCCATCTTGTTTATAATGTCGGTTACTGTGATGACTAGACTCTAGTTCTTCAAAAAAACAAATGGGCAAGTCGCTACAGTTACGTAACATTACTACAGATACTAGACTGAATAATTTCAAATGCCAAAAACCTTTTCGCGTGTTTCCTAGGCAACGCGACAAAACAATTCATCTGGGTCTCGAATTTTAACGAATACTTATTGGAAGGTTACTTTTACACTCATATTTACAATTATTCTCAACTTTTAAGGTCATCATACGTTTCCTCTTCATTATTACAATTACTTTCACCGCTGATCTTGGTGACGTGTCTTCTACTACGCTCGGAGCTCAGCTGTCCTTGGCCCCTTGTCGATACAAACTCTTCTGTACTAGTCGGATAAGAACTCTTCGGCTCTAGTAGGATAAGAACTCTTATGGTCTCTTGCCGAATACCAACTGCTATGTCCTGCACTCTAACTGAACAGGGAATATCTTGTCGAAGGGTTAATTTCGCCCGCTGCTATGCAACGAACGCTGGGATACATGTCTGCCTCAATCAATTCGCTGCCTAGGAATTACCAGCCGTTGACTACTGATTGACTTCTTACCGTCCGGCTTTCAGGCGGCACACCACAATATAGAACATGCCAGGGAGTGAATATCTATGGTTTCAGGAAGACGCCGCTCGGCCCACACTGTGAGAATTAACACGGTCTGTTTCCGCAGCGGGTGATTACCGTTTCGGTGATCAGGCGAAGCCTTCTCGCTCATCAGTCCTAACTGCCGTCCACTTCTCTTTCTATGGGAATATCTATGAGGTACTAGAACGGCAATCGACCTGCATATACGGGCGAATCAGGAGCGAGAATCCAAGAAGAAATCACCCATAATTCGAAAGAAACAGTTTGGGAAGCAAGGCAGAGCTTCTCAATTCATTTGTGCTCGTACATTCAACAGGACATTTGTCATCTAAAGGACGCATTTTACAATGATTAATATATTATGAAAAAAAGCAGACAACAGATGTATAAATTAAATACTTTGTATTTTGTAAACCGTCATTCCACTTTAAAATCACTCCAACCTTTGTGCAGTAGCGCAGAATGAATAAGAGAGTTTTCCCTCATCTCTGAATGACATATGTTGAGGTCTTGAAAGTAACGGAATATAATTCATCAGACTGCATTCAACCATTCTCTAGCGCAACACTTTTATACTAACCGAGGTAGTGTAGCCTTTTCTTTTTAATCGATTAGTGGGGGGTGGAGGCCAACTGGGTCCACTCGGGACAGCTGCCCCGGGTGATTATGATGATGGATAATTTGGGGGAATGAAGATTGGCAGGGGAAACCGAAATACTCGGAGAAAAACCCCTTCCCAGGGCCACTTTGTCCTCCACAAATCCCACTTGACCAGACCCGGGATCGAACCCGGGACACCGCGGTGGGATAGTGTAACCTTGCAGCCAGGCTGAACACTATTACATTTATTTAGGTTCGAATATCTCATAAATATTATATTTTATAACGTTTATGTGCATAAATTGTAACTCGAATGTAGAAGATTCATAAGAAATCTTCCTTTTTGACCACTTCCCGTGTGGCAGTTCAACTATACAAGTAGTTCATGCAAAAGTACAGGTAATAAAAAGCAAGTACTTTGGTAAATAATTTACTTCAATTCTCAATAAAGAATTTAGATGCAGGAACTTCGTGCCTAATTGTATCTTGGTAGTTTGGCCGCGCCATAGCTCAAGCGGTTAGTCACGGGCTTCCCACCGCGGCGGCCGGGGTTCGATCCAGGGTCTGGTGGGCAAAGTGACGCTGGGGCGGGTTTTCTCCGAATACTTCGGTTTCCCCTGTCAATCTTCATTCCACCAAATTCTCCATCATAATCACCCGGGGCAGGTACAATAGGCCAATCAGTGGCCGCCGGGCCGAGTGAACCCAGCTGGACTCCACCCCCCACTAAGCGAATTAAAAAAAAAAATCATGCATAAACGGAGCATTTTGTTATTAAATCGAGACCATGTGACTCCACGATGTTAATACTAAAAGAAGACATCTAATGGACATCTATTAGTCTAATCTGTTTCTTCCAGTGCGAAGGCTTTCACGTATCCCCATGATTTAAATTTCATAGGGGCCTGTTATTTTTTAATGGTTTATGAACTTTATCTGACTGCCTCTGTGGTCTAGTGGTCAGAGTTCCTGGCTACAGATCCAGAGGTCCAGGTTCGATTCCCGGCGCCACCACATTTTCTGAGAAGTAGTGGGTCTGGAATGGGGTCCACTCAGCCTCTTGAGAATTATTGAGGAGCTATTCAAGGAAACAGCAGCTCCTGTCTAGAACACCGAAATTAACGGCCGTGGGGATCCGTTGCGATGACCACGCGACACCCTCTATCCACTAAAGTTGGCACTAACTTCGCCGACAAACGGCGGTCGTTCGGTCGATACACTTCGCGTGCGGACTAAAACCAGGGATTTTATAACATTCTGTTAAACTCGTTCATCAACTAAGCGAAGAGGAATTCTCTGAAATCTTATATATCCATGTATATCAACTAAGTGTCACTCCATTTCATTTGATGAAGAGGCATGGCTGCATATACGGAAAGTATTTTTCCTGCAAAAAGCCAAAAGATTCATTATTTAAGTTACTCGAATATAACACAGAGAACTTAGGCCTATACTGTGAAATAAAACTTTGAATTCATACCGATACTGTAAGAGTATCGAAACCCAATACCAGTACATTGTAAACTAATTTAAAAAACAATATAAAACACTTAAAATGGAATGTTGGCTGTAATTTTGTCACATTTTCCAGAATTAGGTTACATGTGTGGCGAAACTTACATGATTTCTTTATGTGTAGTTAAATTTACGGCTGTAACTATCTACAGTATAGAGTGACGAAAGGTGGGAAGACTGTGGATGATGAATTGGAAAGGATTTGGAAGGAAGTGGCCATGGCCTATTCTAGTTAGTATACTCGCATTTGCCTGGAAGGGCTGAGCAAAATACATAAAGCCATAATCATGAGAGTCGAAGTCCTGACCAACATTCAAATTGAGCTGCTCCTGGAATACACGCCTAAAGCAGTACCGCTAGGCCAACATGCTCGGTACA